ATGCCCTAATCGCACTTCAAATTTATGCTTCGGATTCGATACAATTCAGTGGCATAATAACGTGTGTGCGTCTTTCGTTTGCATTCAATCAATTCAGGCAAGACGAAATTTATCTATACATAAAGAGAAACGAAAAATCTCACGCATTCTTAATGTTGGACGCCTTGAGCATAGAATTTGTAGACGCTGATTGTTATGCGGCATTTTATGGATGAATTCATGGATGAGTCCAAATGGAATGTCATAATTTCGAAAGAAATACGCTTATTAGATTATGTGCGTCTATTGGGAAATACGCCCGAATTCCCAATGATATTCTCTCTTTTCGTATTTTCCATAGAAGAATTTGTGTGATTCGCATTGGGGCATCTAAACAATGTGCAACCATTTTGTCGGGAAAAATAAATGCTAATTGCCAACCGTCAATGGTTTGTCTCGTCAATTGTTGTGTTATTAAAATAATTGGAGTGAAACGGATGGGAAAATATTTCCATAGACGAAAATATAAGGCGTTTTTCGTGGTGTGCTTCCGATTGAATTGACGCTAATAAAGGAGCGAGCAAAACGTGTCGGATTGAAATGTCATGAGAATTAAATTAATGCAAACCAGTTGTTGTAACCGTAACGCTTTTGAATATATGCAGAATTGTGTACAGTACAGGTATACATATATCGATTTTAGTCTTTTCAAATAATGTAAAACATGCATGGGTCTCAATGGAAATTTGTGTGATTATTAAACTGGGTGCGTAGTGACTAATAGTCACGCCTGAAGTGAAATATAAAATTCAACGGATGGCAACCGTACTATTCAAAAATATGAATTGTGAGCGTATAGTATTAAGTAATTCAAGCAATAGAATAGAGCAAATGTTAAATGCATATCCAGCTGAGAATATCTCGTGCGGCTGAATTCAGTTGAGAGTGTTCATCACGTTTGATCAAGTCATAGCTATCGTCACACCGAACAATTAATGTGAACTTGTGTTCATTGATGGAATATTTAACATTTCCAAACAATTTGCATTAGCGGGATTTTGAAAGGTGCCTCCTCCGTCTATAAATTTAAACTCAATTACCGATTTCATGATTTCAGTTTACAGTTTGCCTCCCAATTGCATAACAGTAAACTCACAATGGAACAGTACGCTAAAAGTGCTTAATTATTTGTAAGCGCCACTTGACCCAGAATACGACCTTGCCTGTTTCGTTACTAAGTGAATTGGTTATGTCATGTGGCGGTTTGTTTGAGGATTTGAAGGCGGTCTCTTTTATTTTTGATAAAATTAATTTTTCATCCGAGTGCGTCTGTTTTTGAGAGCGTCAAGTGAAAATGGTCACACACAACAGGTCAAATGATTTCACCTCTTTTTGATTTAAAAATCCAACATGACCACCGGTATCAATGCCACACTTGCAATGAATTGTGCGAGGAGCACGGTTAACGGGCGAGCGGGGTAAATAACATGGTTTCGATGACGTTTTTATGTTCATTGATCCATTCACTTATTCGGTAAGCCACTCACAAATACCTACACATTTGTTGTGTTTTTATTTATCTTGACACCATCGTACCGCATTCTGCCATTCCAGAATGTATTTGTTTGGATATCTGTTGTGTTTCGGCTTTGCGCGAAATAAAGGAAGACATTCAACACGCCATTTCCAATAGAAACAAACAAACTATTTTGAACGCAATCTTATCGATTTGCTTTCATCCAATAACTCGTTTACCGCATTGACTGTGGTATCTGTGGTGCGCGAGAGTGTTGCAAACAATCACAACGTAGAGAATGCGTTTGCCGGCATTTCCGAATCTTATTTATTGGCAACATTATCTTTGCGAATTTATGTGGTGTTACATTGTTGGCGCGTGTTTGTGCCCATTCATTTTCGATGAATGTTGTTAAGGTGAAACACACGCCATGTATTCATTCGTGGGCGTTTAGTGAGTAAAATATTATCGCTAACAAAACCAACGATCGGCAAAAACCAATTTAAGAATATATTCAGCTTTTATGAACCATCTTTCTCATGTTCTTAATAATGCATTGGCCCAAGGGGAACAATTCATAGTATTTACTAGCACGTATTCGGGGCACATTTTCTGCACTGATATCAATGGCATTTTGTGATGTGGCGAAAGGAAGTCCGCAGAGTAAAAAACAACTTCGATGAACATGACATGAGATTGAAATGAAAATGATTTCGAATGTAAAATGAAACGTGAAAAACGGTTGATTAGCTTTTGAATCTCCACTGGGTCTTTGACATCAACAACCATCAATTGTCAGTAACCCTTCATTTTTGAAGTAATATTAAGCCCTCGACAATCGATTCTGAAACAAAAAAACAATCAAATCTGACAACCAGCTTAATTTCTCGTGAAATGTTAGAATCGATCGCAGTATGTTGTCCGTTCTACATGACAATAACGAGCTAGGGGCATTTCACTCCCATTCAAATACATGATCATTCGTGCACGAATCCTGCATTCGCAAAAAACAGTATAAGTATTTGCATTCGCACCATGTATTCGTACTGCCGCGCAAGCATTCGCGCGACTCCGCATATGAAACGTATTCAAACACTCGCACATGTATTCGTCGCGAATGCTAGTTGCGATGAAGTGTCAAACACAGTCAAACATATGGAAAGATGTCAGACGTGTTTGAAAAATTACAACGTGCATTAGATGAACCTCTACCAGAAATTTTACAATTAATTCTCACACATTCTGGATTTGATACAGAAAGCGCATTAGCCATGTTAAATACAAGCATTTGCGGTCGCAGATGTCCGATTTTATGCAAATTTGTTTCCGTTTGATTACAATTCTTGATTAACTGTGGCAACTGGATGATAAGCAATCGGTGACCCGGTTCAAATTTAAACTTATTCACATTCTCGTATGTTGTTTCTTTGAGAATTTCTGGGTTTTCAATGACATAGTTCTCGATATCCATAATAGCATCGTTGTCAATGGACATTAGAGATGATTCATTTTCAAATACACAGATTCCAGGATTTTAATAATATCGGCCGGAATATTTTCATTCAAATATTTTTCTAATTTGAAAATAACATTTTCCAGTCCCTAAAATACAAAACACAACTTAAATTGATATTAAATTTGGATCGAAATAACTATTTACCATTTTGGTGAACTAATGTAAACAATGTAGTTGCAACGATTAACACAACAAATCAATATAGATCTGTCAAGTGCATTCGCATTCGCGCAGCAATATTCGGACGTATTTGCTAATGCGCCGTATAGATACATTGAATGGTTATTCATACGAATGCGAATATTCGGCACGAATATCAGTATTTGCGAGTGTTTATATTCGAATGCATGGCAAAGTATTCGCGCATTCGTACGAATAGCAGTATTCGCATAGAGTGAAATCCCCCTAGATAACAAGATGAGTAAAAAATCAAATGCAAGTAACGAGGTATGAGTTATGCACTCCACTAATCTCTACAGATGCAAGCTTATTCCAGACATTCCGTTTGGCTGCATTTTGAGCTGAGCTATTTACAAATAGCTGGCTGTTTCGTACATTTTGATTTTGTGACGTGCGATCGATCCAAACTCATGATAAAATCCATGATTTTCCTTACTTTGTGACGTGTGATCCCTATCACAGAATCAAAATGTACCAAATATTGTAAATAGCTCAGCTCAAAATGCAGCCAAACGGAATGTCTGGCTTATGCCATGCAAACATGTCGTGCATGCGCGAATTTGGATGGGGCACTTAACCGTTTACAGACGAAAAACTTCGAATCATCGATGCGAACTGTGTTAATTGCAGTTTTTAGGAATTTTAACCTGAACCGTATTTTGAATATATAGCATGCGTGCACATGTGACCATAGGTATAAAAACAAGCAGATGAAGAAAAAACGCTGCATCTGAACTGGAATATGCTTTTCAGGTGAAGTGCTTTTTATCCATCAACTCACGTTCATTTTCCAACTTATGTTTGATGTCGTGACAAGTATGATGTGTAGCACAGTTTTTACTGGTACTTTGAATAACTGCTATCGGAAGCACATGCAGTGCATTCAGAAGCCATTATGTTTTTGTGTTCGTGACACCCGCTTTCTAGAACACTCTTTATTTAGCCTAATGATTTTATGGTGAAATACACGAATGCAACGCAATGTTTTGCGTATTTATCTTGTTTTTATCCCAGTGTTTTCCCTCGTTTTTTTCTCTCTCGACAAAATGTGATTGCATTTCGTACATTTGAACCAGAAGCGGCAAAAAAAACAATTTACGTCCCGGGTTGTTAAACCAGGTAATTTGCAAATGACAAAATCATGGTTTTTTATTTAAGTAAATTTGGGGCAGCCAAAATGCATCGCTAACAGATGCTACCTTTACATTCATCGTCAAAATTATGCTTTCAGTTTTCTTATTTGCACGTGAATTTAATTTGTTAACTAAGTTTCAGTCGTTCATCATGACTGAATATCGCCAAGTGTGCACGAATAAAATTTGCTCATCGAAAAGTGCTCACTAGTTGAGCGAAAACCGGTCTCTTGCCGCATTGTTGCTGTTGAGCTGAGATTCTCTCTTACCCAGTCACGGAAGAGAGCCACATTGAGCGGCCACGTGTTGTCAACATCCATAACAACCATTCAGAAAATTCAAGTTCATTATGCCGTGTGCATTTACGATACGGCATTACACACAATTGAAGGGAAAATATGCTCATGCTCATTGTGAATGAATTGAGTGAATTTTCCATTCGTCAACTAGCGAACGATGAGTGGAATTTTCCGAGTTCGATAATTTCAACAGTAGCGTTGAAATGGAAAGAAAACGACCGAAAAAGAAACAACAACTGAACAACGCACAACGAGACCGATTAAAGTGAAGCCATGCACTGTGTATGGGCTGCGGGATACTGAACTTGAGAGAATTTGTTCGCTTACACACTTCGAATCGCTTGTATCGAGGTTGATGTGTTCAGTTACCAAAAATTGCTACGATTGAACGGTACAACAATTTTATCGCTGCTCATTTGTGTTTTGTCTCGCCAGTATTTGATCGTTAATAGTTCAAATCAGTAAGCAGTTAGAGACAAACACGTTTTTTTCGGTCTTTCAAATGGATTTGAAAATGTTAGTCTTTTCGTACCAAAGCAATAAAATAAAAATATAAGACACATAGTGAGCTATATAATAAAACTATCATAAAAATGAGATAAAAAAAGAATTGACAAAGCCAATGTAGTATGGATCATTGAGCATCTTGAAATCAAGTTCGGCAACAAGAGGAAAAAAAACTTTTCTCAAATTTCGAGAAAAAATAGTTTGCTACAGATTCTCTTTGGGTACTTTCAAATTGATGAATAAATGGGCGAAAATAGACACTAAACGGGCAATGAGCTTGAGAGAGAAAGCAAGAGCAAGCAAACAAACCAACGAAATCAAACGAACAGTGATATAAATAAATGATTGTTTAGAGTGTTTTGCTAAGATCGATATGAAAAATTGTTTGCCGTTGGTTGTCTTCGTCAATTTGATTTAATTGTTGGTGGTGGCCACTACGGCGGTGTTTATATGAAATTTCATTGAGAGAAAATACTGTGGCATTTGTGATATATTAGTGAGGATTGTTTGCTCTTTTTCGATTTTTGGACGAATTGTTCAGCATTTCTCTGGGTTCCCCAAGTGATTTTGATAAACACACAACACAACTGATCCCCCCGACCTAAAATATATATTTATACCAACGGCATTTCGTGAACGTGTACGACACAGATAGAGAGAGATATATCGATGTGTTCAACAGCTCGTATGGTCAATCAACGAAAATGAAAGAGAAATTTAATTTATTCAACAAATAGATAATACCCAAAGTATATTGGATGAGTTATAAAAATATCCTTGTCTCTTCTTATATATAAATATAATTCGGTGTGTTTTGGCGTGTAACGCTTTATTTATTTATATATTTTTTCATTTGTGTGATATGAAAAAAGCGACGAGAGGATCGAAACGCGATATTTTGCATTTTTAATAATTCGCCGTCGTCGTCGTGGTCATCGTAGTGTTTTTTTTTTCACTGGTCAGCTCGGTTGGTGGCGGTGATCTTCTTCCTTAAGTCTGTTGTTGTTGTCGATCTTTTCGATGAGATTATTTTGTGAAATGCTTGATATATAATAGCCATTTTATCGCTATATTCATGTTGTGCGTGGAGTTTTTTTTTATCTCAGTTGGTGAAGGTAAAACGAAAACGGATGAATATTTGAGCGAAATAAATGTGGCTCCTGAAAACTGAGTAATAACAAAAGTACAAGGAAACCTTGAAGAAAAAGAAGAAAAAAATAGAAAAAAGAAACAATAGGACCACGATTCACATTCGAATTACATTAAATTATAACTCGAGCGAGCGAGAGAGAGAGAAAGAGAAAAAACGGAACAATAAAAAAATAAATTGCAGCTCAACACAGAGAGGAGAAAAAAAATCAAAAAAGTCAAAGAAAAGAAAGAGCCAACCGTGTACTTGATATTTATTGAAATAACAACGGTTTTGTTTTAGCGTTTGCATACTGAATCGGTGATATATTTTGCTCCCTGTTCGCGCAATTCGCATGAATATTTGATTGTGGGTTGAAATTTTACAGTTAATTGGTATCATAAAGCTGCAGCCAAAAGAGCCAAATGTAGCAAATGAAATGCCAGCTGAGAGAAAAAACACACAGTGTATGATGCTTGACGAACAGTTGTATAAATGAACAATCAGAAAATAAGAAGTAAGCCTTCGTCCAAATTATTGGGTCGAAAAAGAGAACAGAATGCAATACCATCAATTTAAGGCCAATCATCGCATTTAATGCGAACACATCGAAATGGATAAATAAGAAAAATTACATCGTTTCGGCAAACAAAAACTGGTGACTTCAGGAATTCTTTCATTAGCGCAATATACACGAACAGTTGTTCAGAAAGAGAGAAAGCATTACACTGACACACAGTCCGTATATATAGACCGACTTTAATACATGTGTCTCTTTTTCGTTGTTGTTTCTGCATAAAACTTCTTCTGGTTACTTAACGGCAACAATTGAACGTACACGTAGTGGGCAAACAAATGTGCCAGCATAAATGCATAAAGTCGTTTTTTTGCAATACGAGAGAAATTTCGCTTCGACCAACGATCGATACGCATTACACTTCGGAATGAGAACAACTGATGAAGAAAGAGGCGAGAATCAGTGAAAATACCCAAAACACACAACATAAGGACGAACAGAATTGGACAAGCACGCGGGCGCGCTCACTCGCTTGCTTGCACTGTTTATATGTGCGTGTTACTTGATATAGCTGGCGGACACTTTTTTTTTATCGTGCAAAAATATGTCAGATAAAACAAGTTTTTTGTAGTCGACCATTCCGTTGTGTGTGTTATCTGGTGCGATTGTCAAAGTGTTTGGTGCTCGGTTCGGTTCGGTTCGGTTGGTTTTTTTTCTCTCTCCCCATTAAAAGCCATTGTGTAACATATTTTTAGTGCTGCACTGCACTGACGTTCGCTCGACAATGCATCCAGCCACCATGTACACTTGGTCGCATTAATTGTGATTTTGGTGTTCCGCATGTTTGTGGCTGCTTCGGTGGCGAAGCTGTGCATTCATTAATAACATTATTAACATCAAACTAAAGTGAAATTATGGACGGTGGTGGTGTCGCCTCGAGTGGATTTACATTTTGAACAGCGAGAGAAAAAAGAGAGTGGAAAATAAAAATTGAGTTCTCTCTGACGGCATACAAAGTTTGAACGAGTCAAAGTTGTCGTTGCAAGCGCCGTTCAGACGATAGATAAAGAAAAAGTGCAACATCATGTTCACATTCATTATGAATCTCTGACTGAACACGATAGAACTTGGTGTGAATATTAAAACGGAAAAGTAGAAAGAAAAACTAATTAAAATTACGTTCACGCTGTTGTTTTAAACGGTTTTGTGCGTTTTGAAATTGAATTTCTTCGAAATAATAATTGATAAATTCGCTGGCTATTCGCGCGTTGACGTCAAAGTGAATGAACAGCAAACTCATTTTCCGCCATTAAATGGAAAATTAGAACAAAAGCGGATATCTCACATTTCTTTTTGTTATTCAGTGTGTATGTGCTTGTGCATGGCTTGATGGGTGCAAAGCACCTAAAACTCATTCGAAAAAGCTGTTGAAAATTACTTCTGACATCAACAACGACGACGTCACCGGAGCACAAGCAACGCGCTCGTATGAACATTGCCATTTCAATCATTACAATGATTAATGAAGTTTCTGCGTCCGAACATTCTACTGTATACGTTTAACAAGAAGCTTATTACGACCGTAAATCCAAGTTTCAAAGGTTTGTATTCAATGTTTAGTTCATATCAAAATTTCCATAAATCAATTTTCCTGCCGGCCTCTTTTTCCACTGAAATATGTCGGATTATCCATTTTCAGCGGGAAAATTTTTCATTTTGTTTTCACTTGGTTATTAACCTTTTTCCGTGACAATCATTTATCAGGCAAAAACATTTTTGGTTCTAGCCCATAATACAATGAAGTTTTTAATCACCATTGGTACAGATTGCAAAGCGTCAGGCTGAACAAATGTATCAATCCACTGTCATTTACTCATCGTGTTTCACCTCTCTTCGCTCGCGATTCCGAGATTTTTCATTTGTGACCATTTTTCATTTTGGTTTTACGATTCCCATTCCCGTTCTGATTTAACAACATTTGCAAGCACAATTAGTGGGAAGCGAATGAAAAAAAACTTGGCACATATTCCAAATTCACAAATTGCATTTCCGTTTTATGGTGTAGCCCTTTTTTTCGTTGGTTCAACATCAAAAGCTGGCAATGATGTGCTAAATATCTGATCCTTGTCTTTTCAAATGAAAAGCGAGAAAAAAAATCATTTTTTTTCAGTCTTCAGCTGCTACATTGAAATTCAATTTATTCAAATGCGTAAGCTACACAGCTTGGAAAACAAGAGAATTTTTGCAATGACGCGGAACGGAGCTGCGTGTTTGGATTTCAATCAGACCGATTATTATGGTTTTTGGTAGAAAGCTTCCTCGGCGATCAAATTTCATGAAGGAGACGAGACAAAAAAAAGCACGGTGCTCATGAGTACATAGTGAAATACTATCAAACATCAGCAGTGTACCGAAGCATCATGTAGCATTTGTTCACGTCATGACATCACATTTTCGCTAATACAATTTATTTATATTCAACCGTCGTTGGCATATTCTTTACACTGTGCACAGACTGTCTACGAATATGAATCACTTGAATGTTTATTGCCAAATTTTATTGAATGTGCATCACTGGCAAGTGAGTGCAAAACTGTCACATTGTAGTACCAATTAAACTGAAAGGAATTTATCGATTGTCAAGAGATTTTCAATTGTATTTTTTCCCTTTTCGTGTTTTTTCATTGCGTAATTTATGGCAGCGTAACTTCTAATTTAATCGATTGGACAATGTTTGTTTCCAATTCGATGACCCAAATCCAATTGATGTGGCAAAAACCGAAATTCTTGGGATTGTATGTCAACAAACATTGCACGTATACAAACAATTCCAAGAAGGCTCCCAAAATGTGTGGAAAATTCCATTGCTTATCGCCTTGCTGCGATCAAGTCTAATTAGATGGATTTCGCATTGACCAGCCATTCGAATCGTTGTATTTGTTCAACAAAATCTCATAATAGAAATCTCAAGAGTCTGGCGTTATTTGAGCCAGTCTCGCCAACATCATATCACAGACTCTGTCTACACTAGTACAAAAGTGGAGATGAATTAATGTCTGATGATTAAAATCAATCGAAAGAAGAAGAGAAAAAAAACTTCCAAATCCCATAAATACTGACTGAAATGCGATGATGAGTGTGTTCAAGTTGATAGCCGACACCAACTTCGAAAACACATTGATTTCGCATTCGATTGCTTTGGATAAAGCCGCTTTGCAAATGAAACAGAACGTTCGGTATTTTTCGAATCCGAATCTATAGCAACGGAGAAGACGTGTGGGATGTATGGCAAATATTTTGTTGATACAAATATTAAACGATGATATTATTACCATTTAATCACTTCACTTGAAATTCTCGGCAATGTCCCCCTCCAAGTGTTGATGCCTATCTATCCGTTTTAGCGTCTTCGAGTCAACAAACCACTAATCCGATGTTGTCCATTTTATGATTCCAAAGTGGTGGCTTCATTGTAGTTTTATGGTTGTTCAATCGATGCCATATGAGGAACGAATTCCCGAGATTCTTCTTTCCACAACAGTCATAAATGCGTCATCCACATTCAAAAATACCACACAAATATCAATCATAAAAAAGAAATCATAAAATATTCTCCGCATTCTTACTATCTTTTGTGCTACACACGCATTCCAATGTGGGACAATTGCTTTTCAATTCGACGATAACAAAGCGAATCATGCTTTTGTCATACACACACACACACACACACACATATATATCTCGCACATTAGCCCACTAAGCATATCTCAATCACTCGGAAAGCAGTTCTGTCGTGATTTTTTTTATTACTGTCCCACTCAAAACGGCCATTATGATTGAGCATAGTGAATTCGTTTAGCATGAATGAAATGACCATGTGAAAGTGGATGAAAAGGACACCACAAAACGGGTTTACAGCTTTTTGATGGATGTGTGGGATATTCCATTACACGCATTTTTATCGTTTCTTTCCAAGAAATTATTCGCACAAATTGTATAACTATTCACAGTATGCAAAGTGGTTGAATCAAACTGTTTGAGAGTTGATTTAAATTCTAGGGGCTTCTAACTCCAGACGAATGTTTCATATAAATACGTATGACCACGTATAATTTCCGTATATTTTGTGCATATTTCATATATAGCCCGCGTATACGCTATATATTTTAACCATTTCGCATATAAATTTGTATTGGCGAATAGAGATAAAAGCCCCTAGTTTCAATCACCTCCACGAACAAGCAAATGGCATGTTTTCAATCGGGAAAATACTTTGAATGTCATTTCAATAGGATTATTTATTCAATAAATTCATGTAAATTCACAAAGGAAATGGTTTTATGTGAGAAAATTCAGTTCGTCTGTTCAATGAAAATTGTAATGAATTTACGTTACGGAACCACAGACACAGAACTATTATCAAATGAAATGATGAAAAGCAAATTACTGAGAATTTATGAGGACATTAATGGAGATTCTAAATTGAATAAATAGTTTGACACTTTACAACCCATTAAATTATCGCGAAAAAATTGAATTTTATGTGGAATTTCTGTGAAAAACCATAACATTTAACTAAGCTTATAATTCTATTTGATTCAGCTGAAAATTTTTGGACTGCTTTTGGAGGATTTCCATTTATATTTTTTGCTGTATTCATATAAAATTCCACGCTTTTACCAAAATCCCACAGTATTTTCGACAGCATTTCAACCGAAAAATATCCCATTTCAGCCGGCTGCGTTAATATGCTGTATTTATTACATTATTATTTGCATAGTGAATTCACAAAGCACTGTTTTATTAAAATATTTGGAATTCTATTGATTGATGGGCGAATAAAAGAGCGATTCATCGCTGACACAACAACAACAATGAGAAAGAAAGATTACGTATAAACCAACAATTTGCTGGGTTTTTTTATCGGTCTATTAAATATTACATAACTCTTACATCTGACCAAATATTCGGCAGGCGCCTCATTTTTTGTCGGTTCTTCAACACAGACCAAGCATTCCTATTATATGTGAAGTTGCAATGAAATGAAAGGAAATCTTGATCGAATCAAGGCCGAACAAAAGAAAATCCAATAAAAAACAGACGAAATGAATCATCAATTTGCATCACAAAAACAAATCAAATGGGATCATGTTCATTGATCTACGAAAAAAGAAATGGTACCACATTAAAGTGACTACCTTATTTGCAAATACGGACGACTATGTTTACGTGTTTTTGTTGCGGCAGATCGATCTGTGTTATCGAAAATTCCGATTGTAGGGCATCTCTCAAGCAAATAAACAAATAGTGAAATAGAAATAGTGAATAATATATGATATGAACGGCAACAGTTCGGTTGGTTGCTCGGAATGTCATATTGCATGGAAATGTGGAGTTGAATGGAGATGAATACGATAAATAAAAATGGAAAGCAATGCTTTATTAGCGTACTGACATTTTGCTTCAAGCGGAAAAAATGAAAGGAATCCAATTTGTTTTGAGGGAGAGAGGGAGAGAGAGAGAGAGAGAGAGAGAGAGAGAGAGGGAGCGAGAGAGAGAGAGAGAGAGAGAGGGAGAGAAAGAGAGAGAGTGGCAAGAATTCCAAGCAGCAAACATATAAATCATGCAGATTTTCCCATTTCCATACGATAGAACGCAGAATAAAATATTCATCTCATCATAAATTATAATGGAAACGTGACAAATAACGAAGAAATAGGGAATATTCATTACAATCGTTGACTTGTACAGAATGCAATCAAATGCCGTTGAATCTCATAAACATTCTTCTACTGAATTGCTCGTCGGATGGACAATTTTGATGTCGACATAGTGAACTTTTATTGCAAAGTGAAACCTGTCTAGCTAAATAGTTCGCAATAGTAGAGATTGTGTGTTTGGACAGAACAATGACAGCGTGCAATATGAGATTAACGATTGCGTTGAAACTCTATGGTGTTTCTGATGAAGGCGAATTGAAAACAACATTATTCACTGCCACCGGTGATCCCAATTCATTTTACGAAGTTTATTTGACGCCATCCCTTCTTTGGCACCGTTGCACTCCAAACATGAAAACAAAATAGAGAATGATGTGTATGAGCTTCTATGCAGTTTTGCATCGTTGAGACCCGTTGAATGTTAAACGATAAATTGTAATTTAAAAAGGACGAGTTGACTGTGGAATTTATTTTATGGAGCGCTACCTGATCCAATGAACACCTTTGCCATCGTCACACAATAACTCATGTAATCGATCGATAAATCTCGGGGACAACAAAACACTCTTTGGGTCACAATTAGTGTGTGATTGTGACAAATAATGTGTCTGAGCAGAAAAAAATGTGAAAAATGTGTTGTGAAGCAGTAGTGGCCAATACACACACATAGTGACCGTTGTCCAAAGATGGTTGTTAATTCACATTACTCGAGTTGACGCAAATGCAAGTTTGATGTTCCAAGACAAACACAGCAACAACAATGAGAGGTGAAAAAAAACGTGACGGAAATTGTGATCATGTCGTCTCGTTGATTGATTGCTTTGCGTTGATGCACGAACACTAAAATACATTGTTCGGCTAATTGATACATTCAATCGTCG